ATGGAACTCACCAACAAAGGTGTTCATGTCAAGGACCCAATGGGTGGGGTCTATTTGAGCAAAGGTGGAGATATCCATAGGGAAGCTTCGATTTGGGAACACTACTCCAAACATTGTTAATTACTTTTTTCTCTTGTGTTTTTCCTGAGGAAGAAGAAAGGAACCACAGTTAGAAAATAGATTTCCGTAGCATCTAACAATCAGACGTTTCAAATTGCTTCACACTCAAACACGATAAGAAGTTTGTATTTGCCACAGAACAGCCTAGATTGTAGTTTTAGGTAAATATTACAAAGTAGTTTGAAGTTGCTTACTTTGTGTTCAACACAAAAACACTGAGCAAAGTAATATCTGCCCAACCTTGAAATCATTTTTGCAAATGCACAATGAAATGAGCAAATCTCATATATTCTTGCAAAACAACCCCAAAAAAGAGTACTATCTGATACTGCTTGATGGCCCAAACTTACTTACAGAACTTAAATCAAAGAATGCCAGAAAGGAAAATCGGCCAGCAATCTCAGACCTATGACACTAAGCAATCAGAAAGCAAAATAAATCATGAAGGGTAACCAGTTGGATCACCAACTACATAACACTAAAAAGTCCCAAAGGTTGACATAATGCCTCCCTTTTCTTGTGTCCATAATCAGATTGCAAACAAAAGCTACAAGTTAGTATACAAATGCAGTTCAATTTACAGTCGTTAGTAGTAATATTGTTCCTTGTTCAGTTTTCAACTCCAAAAACATCAAAGTATGTCGAACTAAGACACAGAAGTTTAAAACCAAAAACATGCAAATAACACACAAAGAAATAAAAAGGGAACTCCTGAATCAGCATACAGCTTTGTGTTGACAAGCTGGATTCCAGGAAATTGCAAAAACCATGCAAACTATTCTGCCTACCGAGTAAAACTTCTGAAGAAAGTCAAGACCTTCAAGACAGACTTCAAGGAAAAAAGCTGGCTAGTGAACTGACCACATCTGGGTCAATTTGCGTGTATCTCAATAATTCCACCAGGTACTTGCTACAAGTACCGGGTAACTATGCCAGTTTATGCAGCTTGGAAGCAATAGCTTTACTCGTCCTGATCTCCAAGGTTTACACCCATGTTATATTCCACTTCTTCAAAATCCACATCCCCTTCTTCAAAATTCAGGTATAAACCTAGCTCTAGCACAAACATCCATAACTTGTACCACACTATCCTAGCTCCATGAGAAGTTCTTTATTAGAAAATTATCATAGAGCAGAACGACCATTCCCGAAGAAATCTCTTTCATAAAAATCGACTATAACTGTAAACAGGAAACAAAAATATACCAGCTAACAGTTTGTATAGCAACAACATGCAAGACGAGAAATCTAAAAGGCAGCTCTGAGGTTAGTTTCTACCTTGAACCGTTTTAGTCAATTCAAAAATGAGTTTAACTTGTAAACATTGATGAGGTAAAGATCAGTCACCCAAAAGATTTCTACAAAAATAAAGATGCTTTATAGGAATGATAATTAAACTCATTCTAGATATACCACCTTTATAATCTATGCAAGCTAAACTACCAAGTGAAACATTCCCTCTGTACCAGATAATGACGAAGCTTAATCAGCTAAAACCCACAAAATTTCCAACATATCCAAATACAACCACATGAGGTGATCAATTCGATCGGGCACTCGTAATCTATTTTCATTATTCAAATCTTTGACAACACAAAAAAAACATTGTTCAACTCTTTGACGGCATGAAAAAAAAAAAAACTCTGCCCTCGCTATTTTTTTTATAGAGCCAAAAAGATTTGTGCCAAAATCACATATGCCAAAAAGAATATAAGTCATTTGATGGTCAGAAGCAAATTGACAGTTAAGCAGACAGCCTGAGAGCTGAGTGATGACCTTGTTTGACATGCTTTTTTCCTTCCAAAGCGAAATAATCACTCATGAGCTAATTGCGCTCAATCTACATCCTACCTCACTCGATTAAGCTTTTCTTCTTATACACAGAAGGTTTTGCTCTCATATAGCGGGTTTTCCACTTCCTTCAGTTACATTAGGGCTGACACGAAGTTAAGATTCTTCTTTATCGCTAGTCGCTACCTTCCTGGAACTACCTCCTTACTTAGATCGTTTGTTCCCCAATTCAAACTCGGATCAGTTGGCAAGTGGATTGCCTGGGTATGGAACTCTAAACTATAAATGCGATCTAGAAAGAGCGAAATCTAGTCTTTTGTCATTATCCTTCACGGGTCTCAACAAACAGACTGAATCGAGTGCGAGAATCTTTCGTAAGAACAACTGAGAGTGACCGACCTGTAACCCGAAAGAAGTAGTTTTCTCTTAAGGCGGACTTGAAAGAAAAGTAGGCTTTAGCTTGAACAATGAAGTAAAAGGCTTGACTTTTAATGTTTTTCGGGCATACTTGAATGACTCGCTTTACTGAAAAAGGCGGCTGTATATAAAGATATTTATATATAAAGATATTTATACTTCTTTTCACATATGGAAATATGAAATTCATACTCATGTGACAAGTCAAGACCCTGAAAAAGCAACTAATGAAATACTACATTTAGAAGCTCATTTACTCTGTAATTTAGACAAAAATGGAATTGTGATGCTGGGATGTTGGGTAGTGATGGGTGATATTTTAGTAGGTAAATTAATAGCCCAGGCCATGAAAGAATCTTTGTACGCCCCCGGAAGATAGATTGTTAGGAGCTATACTTAGTATTTAGGTATCTACTTCAAAGAAACACCATAAAAGTAAAATCAACCAACTACAGCCTCATTCCCAAATCAATTATATGAATTGTCTGTATCTATTCATTTCTACTAAAAAAAGGTTCGACCTTTAAAACTTTTAAGGCAAATTCTTGATTAAATTATTCTGACACTAGCATACAACACCATAAAAGTAAATCAGTCAACTACAGCCTCAATTGTCTGTACCTATTCAGTTATACTAAAAAAGGTTTGATCTTTAAGACTTTTAAAGCAAATCCTTGATTAAATGATACTAACACTGACATACAGCACCATAAAAGTAAATCAATCAACTACAGGCTCAATCCCAATTCAGTTAAATGAATTGTCTGTACCTATTCAGTTCTACTAAAAAGAAGGTTTGATCTTTAAGACTTATAAGGCTTAATTCTTGACTAAATTAGGCACTTATTTCTAACAGTGACATACAACACCATAAAAGTAAATAGATAATAGCAATAAGAAAAAGGAGGATGTTGGGATAGTGTACCAAAAGCTGTGAATTAGTCCAGCGATGATAGCAACTCCAGAGTCTTGTAAATGGAGAGTTCTAAGCTATGAATGGCCGTATCCTTTTAGTTTCAAGATTAAAGGTAGGGTTTTTTTTTTAGAAAAAGGAGGAAGGAAAGATTGAAGACCAAAAAAGAAGGTGGAGATTACTAGTATTTGCATCGACCATTTTTAATTTATATGTTGGATGCAATATATTTCATCATGTGGAAGAAAGAATAGTACACATCTTGTAAAGTCTAGTAAGGTCTAGAACATTTGCACTCTACTTTGGCTCAAATTTGAGGGGTAACATTAAAGAGCAAATTTCATAAACCAAGCTATTATAAGTGCTAATTAATCAATGAAATGATTATGGCAATAAGTATATAGATTGTTTGAGGTTAATTTTAAATATATATGATTTGATTGATAACAGATCGGAGAGATAATTATATTTAATAATTTAACCTATTAGATATCTATTTTTTAATATATTAATGTGTGAGTCGATCAACAAGCTATCAGCTGATTTGATATCAGATTAGTAATTATCGAGATGTATTGGTTCAATCATTTTATGCTTCTTTCTTTTATTTTCATTCACCAATATGTTGATTTCACATCAAGCAAAACATTTTTTTTTTTTACTTTACTTAAGCAGATAATTCTATGATTGTAAATCATAATGGAAAATACATGAAAGTCTAAATTTTGAGGGTGCACGCACATAAGCATTTATTTTACAAATATATTGCTGGTAAAAATGTAATTATTATCATTTTTAATAGGTTAAATTTAGCATATAATTGAGTAATTAGTTTTCGCACTAATAAATTGTTAACTATAATTTTTTTATCCGTTAACCTAATTCTAATAAGTCGAGCCAATTTTGTGATAGATTTGTTGGTTATGGCTAAGTTTTGAACAACCCTGCTAATTGGTGTATCTAAGATATGTGCATCTTTAAAAGTGGTCTATTTTTAGTTGAGAAAATCACGCCTATAACAATCTTTGAAGATTTTACATATCCGAAAGCTAAAAAAAACAACACAAGAAATCTAAATTCTCTTTTATCAACTCTTCATCATGACAAAATATCAAATTCAAGTAATTATATTCCTGATTCACTTCATATGTGATTTCTAATTGACAGTATTAACAATGGTTTTTTGTATTAAAATTTTCACAATGTATCTATATTTCACAATTTCACTATTTCTAACTAGTACTATGTTTTTATATAGTATCAATTTCACTCAATGTATTTAATATCTATTTGAGGTATTCAATATCAATTTTATCTAGTACATATAATACTAATTTAATGTATAAAGTATCAATTACATAAAGTATATTTAAATACATATATCTAATATAAAAAATACATATATACCGAATGTCAAATATGCATTGATATATTCGTCAAATAAGCTAATATTTCGTGTATTTGCGAAATACATACCAAAAAGACGATTTTTTTTTTACATAAATATGCAATGTATCTGTTCGACATTTTAATTTTTTATGAGGGATATTAAAGTCATCAAAAAGAGAAATGAGAGTAGACTTGGTCATCTGAGTCACCAAGCATATTTCTGACCAAAGTGTCAGAAGTGCACACAGAAAAGGAGAGGGAATCTAGAGAGGTAAAATCTTGCCAAAGAGAAAAAAAAAGGTCTTGATAATTAGTAAAGTTTTCATTTTTAAGCTCTGAGAATCAAGATTCAGTTCAGAGGACCACATCTATGGATTCCTCAGATCCTGCCAAGACAAAAACATCATCTTTATCAACCCCATCTAAGCATTTTTGGGTTCTTCCTTACAAAACTCAAAGTCTTGAGAGTCTTTACACTCTAGGCAAAATATTGGGTCAAGGTCAGTTTGGAACTACCTATCTTTGTACTGAAATATCAACTTCTAATCTTTATGCTTGCAAGACTATACCAAAGAAGAAGCTCATCTGTAAGGAAGATTATGAAGATGTTTGGAGGGAGATTCAGATAATGCACCATCTATCTGAGCATCCAAATGTTGTTAGAATAAAGGGTACTTACGAAAATGCTTTATATGTACATATAGTTATGGAGCTTTGTGCTGGTGGGGAGCTTTTTGATAGGATTGTTGAAAAGGGGCAATATAGTGAAAAAGAAGCTGCTAAATTGATCAAAACAATTGTTGGGGTGGTGGAAGCTTGCCATTCATTGGGGGTTATGCATAGAGATCTAAAGCCTGAGAATTTCTTGTTTCTTAGTTCTCAAGAGGATGCTGCTCTCAAGGCCACTGATTTTGGCCTTTCTGTTTTCTATAAGCCAGGTACATTCCCCTTAGTCATCAACTAAGGGATTTTGGTTTGATCATCTTTTTTCTGATATTTATTTTCTTGATATTGTTCTCTATGTTGAGGAGTGGAAAGCATATCTTTTCTTTTAACTGCTTGATTGTTAGCATAATCCTTGATCATAGGAATTCATGATTTTCACAAACAAATCAGTTATCAAGTAAATGGTGATTCATGATGCCTTTAAGTTTGCAGCTAGACTGAGAAACTGTGATTCTTGTAATGCTCATGATGGAAAAATACTTCTTTTCTTAGGGACAGTTACTAAGGGGATTACCTACTTCTCTTATTCTTATGATAGCTGAGATGCTTCTCTAATTTGACCACTAAGGTTTTAGCTTATTACTAATATTATCTTTTTTTAAGAACAAACTTGAGTCTTTCTTTGTTAATGATTTGAATTATATGGAATTAATGACGGAAGAATAGGTATTCAGAAGTTGGTCAAGTCTTAATTTGTTATTTTAAATGGAGATTCCCACTTTTTATTTCTTCTCCTCAACTTTTGGATCTGCAGGATTTGCATAATTGCATTATAACAGTAGTTGTGTATGTACAGTTCTAGAAAGTACTTTACCGAAGCAAAATTGTTCGTATAAGTGTCCTTTTTTTTATTGCTTTATTACTAGTGTTCTGACTGAATAGTACATAGCTTACCAAGTTTGTGAATGCCAGACAATCTATTTAGAGAGTGTTCTCGAACATGAAAATGATAATTGTGTCTTAAATCTGATGATGACATTTGTAACTTCAATTTGTTTACTGGTCCTTCTAATCTTGGTATGAGTATCTCTTCAAATTGTCTCGTTCCATTTTCCTTTTGAATGTGATTGTTCCATTCAACTTGGCCTTGCTGAATGAAAAATTTACTTGATTAATTTCTACTGCTATATGTTTCTGGCGAGGTTCTGTTTTATTTCAGTCTCTAGCACTTAGCTTTTGCTTTCACTTGCTGATATGATGTTTTCAAATGTGAAAGCCCAGCAACCTTCCTGACATTATTCATTGCATCATATCTTTTTCTGGACAGTTGGTCAATCATTGTCCTACTGAGAATTGCTGATTTTTGTTCTACTTACTTTAGGAGTACTTGACCTTTTATGCTAAAGTAAACAGTTCTGTTCCTTGATGTTTTTATTGTTATCAGGTGAAACATTTTCTGATGTTGTGGGAAGTCCTTATTATGTTGCCCCAGAGGTTTTATGCAAGCATTATGGACCTGAATCAGATGTATGGAGTGCAGGTGTTATCTTGTACATATTACTTAGTGGTGTTCCACCTTTTTGGGCAGGTACTGTAATTGCCAGGTTTATATTTCTATGGGTGTTGAGGTGGAAATAAAGTGTGTTATAAAGTTCGTCTTTTATGCTCATATTATATTATAATTCTTATTGTTTTCCTGATTCCAGAAACTGATATGGGAATATTTCGTCAGATACTGCGAGGCAAACTAGATTTAGAATCCGAACCTTGGCCTGGAATTTCAGATAGTGCAAAGGATTTGATACGCAAAATTCTTGATAGGAATCCAAAGAGGAGGTTAACTGCCCATGAAGTTTTGTGTAAGTCCTTCTAGTTGTGAAAACTGGGACTTATTTGACTCTGGAAAATGATGTTACCCTCTTAGTGTCATTCTTCAAGAAGTTGCATATTTCAAAAACATGTCCATGAACATGTTGAAACAAAGGGCTTTTACAATGAGCTTACATTTTTTGTTTCCTGTGACTCAGGCCATCCGTGGATCGTGGATGACTCAATGACCCCTGATAAACCTCTTGATTCTGCAGTTCTTTCACGCCTCAAGCAATTCTCAGCAATGAACAAACTAAAGAAAATGGCTTTGCGTGTAAGCTCTTGAAAAGTTTGTTATCCGCTTACAAGTGTCTGTACTCTCCTTGCCTAGACCAACTTTTACCATACAGTTTTATAGTGTTCCAAGAACTTCAGTTGTAAAGAAACTGAAATTGGATCTAGATGCTGTTTTAAAAGAAACAGGAAAATGCAAAAAAGTAGTATAGAAGTGTAGAAATATGGGTAGAATTGAAAATTATTTGGGGGATGGGGAGTATGGAAGAAGTATGCCACATCCTAGAAGCTGTTAATGCAGATCATATTCATATAACATCTATATCCATGTATATCGTCATTTCTAATTAAGGAATGCAAGTAAATGAACAATAACTACTACCATGCTACAATGATACACTAGTTGGGTTCTTTATTTGAATCCTTTATATACATTCCACTCTCTGAATTGTTCCACTTTTATAGGATGTCCCCAAAGGACTTATATACATTCCACTCTCTATATCGTTCCACTTTTGTCGGATGTCCCCAAAGGGATTATATACATCCCACTCTAGTTGAGTTCATCATATTCCATTACTAAATAAGGTCCTTTAAGACAAACCAGTGATAGTAGTATTATCTGTACCTCACAGTACGGACATACAAATCTCTAGGTTTATCTTGGGTTCCTACATTGTTTTTATCAAGTTGTGTCTTTCCTGAATATAGATACCAAATTGCGAGATCATAAACTAGTTACCACTATAGTTGTCCCTTCCCTTAGTGTACATAGTTGGTTTTTGTGCTTATTCAATCTTCTTCTCCTTTTTTCCTTGATAATTGCCTTTCCCGTTATTCTAATTTTCTTATTTGTTGAACCATACCTCCGTGAGAGAACATGTACTCTGTTAGTCTGTATCTTATATATATTCTTGCAGTATCACAAAATGTATGTCAATTTGGTCCTACTTTACCAAAGGAGAGAAAGGAATGGGAAAAGCTAAAATGGGAAAGGAGCAAACAGTTTATCCTCTTGCAGTTTTACCAGAAATGTCTGAATTTTTAACAGATGCTGCAATCACACCATTTAGTTATATTCTTTTTGCTGGGTTTTTTTCGGTGTGTCCTGCTTGTGGCGATTTATACTCGGAGTCTTGGCAAATATCATTTTTTTCTTGTTATAGAGTGTATATAGACTTAATCCTAGTAATATACATAGCTATATATAGGCAGCAGATTTATAGGGATCACTGCAGATCTGTAGGAATCACTCTTTATTTCTTTCCTTAGTTAGCACCTTATGTATTGTATTTATTCACTGTTCACCTACTGGAATAAGATAAGAACTTCCATTCAATTACATTTCTTAAGAAAGGGAATATGTGTAGAAACTTAAATACTGCTGAAAGTATCTTATCTCACTTTCAGCTAATGTGTTGCCGATGACTTTTGAAGTGAAAATCCGTTATACAATAACCAAATATAATTTGAACTCAATGAGCTGTCCTAATTTTTGCGAACATTGTTGTTGAATGGGCCAACAGATTTTTCTTTCTGGGTGGAAATTATAATTATGATTGGGGTGCTTCTCATTGCTATTTAACTGATATATATTTTGAGAAGTCCAATCACTATCATTCTAATTCAATGTTCAATGTATTATTGAGTTATATATTTGATTCTTGTTTTACTCATTCTCTTATTACTTGTAGGTGATTGCCGAGAGGCTATCAGAAGAGGAGATTGGTGGCCTCAAGGAGCTATTCAAAATGTTAGACACGGACAATAGTGGAACAATAACCTTTGAGGAACTAAAAGAGGGTTTGAGGCGAGTAGGTTCGGAACTAATGGAGTCTGAGATCAAGGATCTTATGGATGCGGTAAGAATTATCCTCATTGTGTTTTTGTGTGATATGCCCACCTTGTCTTTCTTCCACTCACTTGTGCTTATGTGTGTTATAACTTTCCGCTCATTTAACCACATAGATCCAACCATGTTTTATTTAACAGGCAGACATTGACAACAGTGGAACAATAGACTATGGGGAGTTTATTGCCGCTACTGTTCATTTGAACAAATTGGAAAGAGAAGAGAATCTATTATCAGCCTTCTCTTTCTTTGACAAAGATGGTAGTGGCTACATAACTATCGAGGAACTTCAGCAAGCCTGCAAGGAATTTGGTCTAAGTGAGCTCAATCTTGATGAAATAATTAAAGATATTGATCAAGATAATGTAAGTTCTATTCTCTTATGTTTTTTATATCATGCACATATATAAGAAGTAAGGGTTGATTAAGTTACATAATGTCTGCCAATTTATTAAAAGACATTCAATGGGGTTTATGAAGATTTTGCGCGGCTTTATCGATTGTCTTGAGGGTCGGATGCTCTAAACCTTTCACATGATATAAAGTCAACCTTTTGCAAGCTTATTTGCACACCCATAAATACACCAAAAGTCTGCTGGGGAACCCCAGATCCACTCGGATGGGTGTTTAGTTATGTAGTGTCCAACATCCAAGAGTGTTTATAAAGGTGTCGATTTGCTTCATCGCAGTATATGCTGAAAAAGGTTGTCAATGGTCAAAGTAAGTGATGCCTAGTACTATTACAAACGCTCTCCCATTGCAAAAAGGAAGGAGAAAAATCTGTACTATTACAAACACCTTCCCATGCCTAGTCTCATCTTGTGCTGACTGTACCAATGCTGAAGATGAGTTTACTGATTTACACTGTATTTAGTAACAGAAGAATCTGCCATGTACCATTCCAGGGAATGGTCTTTGCGTTGGTTTTTATGTTCAGCTAGATAGGCTGTAGTTCTCTCTCTCTTGTAAAAGGTTTAATTTTTTGTTTGAATTCCTATCAGCTCAACTGGTTAACTTAGATGTTTAATGATTAGATGAGTTCAGTTCATTTCTCAATTTCCAACTCAATTTGTGTGCAACTTGTCCTTCCGTCTTCTGTTAATTCTTAGTGTCTGTTCCTGTGTTTTCCCCACTAAAAGAGCTTACAAATTGCAGGATGGACAGATAGACTATGGGGAGTTTTCTGCAATGATGAGGAAAGGCACCGGCGGAGGCGTTGGGAGGAGGACCATAAGAAACACTTTGAATTTAGGAGAAGCACTTGGACTCGTACAGAGTGAAGAAAACGTATGACCAACAAACACGATGTTTCTAATTTCTTTTTGCCATGAAGGTCCAATTATATGACATTTACTGCTACAAGGCTTGGGTTTTGAACTTGATCCCTTCCCTTGCTTTATTGATGGCTGTTTTTTTACCTTTATTTGTCCAAGCTTAGAACAATTTTCTTCTAAATCTGCTTCATTTCCTTCTAGATGTTAGCCTTTGTGCTGATTTTAATTTTTGGATCGTTCAAGTCTCATTGGAAGGTGATTTTTAAATATCTGAATACTGTGGAACCTATACTGCTATAGAAATTCACGCCTCAAGAAAAGAGTATCAGTCTCAAACATATTATCCGTTTCTTCCTCAACTCAACAATGACAGCAGTGATTGCCTTCCCAACACGTAATACTTTGGCTTCAAGTTCGTTGTCCTCCTGATTATATAAGATAGACAATGATTGAATGAGGATATTGCATTGTATTCTCCTCTTGAAAATTAGAGAATATTGACTCACACCATACAGAAAAATGTTAAACTGGCCATTGATGAAGTCCATGCTATGATACCAACTTGCTTGTATGTTTTTTCCCTGATCAGATCTTAAATTTCAAAATCAATGCTGTGCATGTTTTCGTCTTATAGAAGCAAAAACTAGAACACACTTATTGCTTATGTTTGTGGCATTGCTAATTAAGGCCAGAACATGTACACATATTGCTCAAGACTTGAAAGTGACCTTCAAAAGCATTCAGATTGATTAAGTTATTGCTCATAACACTCTGCTAACTATACTTAATGTAGTTCAAGAAGCTATATATGGAAATAAAACTGTATGTATACCAAAGATCTCCACATGAAATGAGGGCCATACATCCCATCAGATGATATATTATTCAACACTATAATGCTGTCTTAAAGTTTATCCTTCATTCATTGTGAAATTGAGATAATCATACTCATTTCCCCATAAATTAAGCTCTCTTTTATTATGGAAACAGATAATACATCCCCTAGTATGTACATTTCTGAGATAAAATAGGACCCAGTCACTAGTAGAGTACTTGAACAGAAGAGCCAAATTCACAACCACACACACACACATATAGGCCAACTTCTCTTACTTGATGCCAGCTATCCAAATTAAGCAGTGTAGGACATGTTGAGAATCGATGTAGGATACTTAATCTTACCTTGAAGATGGTAGTCCAATTGTTGTTGATCCATACTTGAAATATATCTATATATGTCGTCCTCTTCAGGTCTCTTCTTCCAGCTCCCGCTACATCTATCTGCTACCCTCTCACCTTGATCTCTTTGGAATTCATGAATGAAAATGCATTCTTTATATCTATATATATATCTTGAAAGAGTTCTCGTGTATTGCTTCCACATTCAAAATAGCTAGGTTCTTTTGGGATGTCAGGCAAGATGATTTGTACATATAATATCCTGTTATTGCAAACACTAGCAAAGTCCATTCCTTCATTGCTGCTCCTCTTCCTCAGACATTAACTAATCCATTTTGAAGCTTGTTTTGAAGTATAAGTCGTTTATACCATCCACTTGATGGGTATTTTAAGAGTAATCTTCATAAAATCCATTTACAAAACACTTAAAATAAAGATATGGATGTCTCTGTGTGCAAAGTTGGTGCTGTAATGACAAGTTTCGACGGTTATCAACTCAACCTCAGGTAATGAAGTTCAAAAACTGTGTATCAAATGTATATGTGCTGTAAAATGCACAGTATTGCTATGTTTTGTAATTATTTGAAAGAGTACACACTGGAAAGTGCAATTTTGAAGCCTAATTAAGCAAACATTCCTCAACGAAACAAAGTATAGGGAGTATTGGCCTGTTGCCCAATTCAATCTGAAAACGAATTTGTTTGTGGTGCTTTTGAGATTTACCATCGTTCTAAACCAGGGCATCTACACTTGCAAGAATGCTCACCTCCTCCATATTACAAAATACAAAACCTCAAGGCATTTACTATCCACAAATATATAATGATGATACTACTAATTTGCTAAGGCAATGGTACGCGATAGCCTGACAAGAATAAAGTTACACAGGAATTTAATCAGAAAACTA